CCCAAATAGGGATGTAAATCATCCACAAGCGTGATATTCCAAGCTTACCCTAGCAGAGCAAAAGCCCCCCTCCCACACCCTTACCCACTTATCCCTCAGCTGTGTGGAAATGAAATAAATATTCCCAGATAAACGATGGCAGGAGAGATGGTTAAACATCCACCTCTCCAAAAGCCAATTGCCCCAAGCTTTTATTAAAGATCGATTTGATTTGGGGAAAAGGCCAGATGTTGCGAGGTTAAGCAAATGTCACGTTCTCCCATTCCAGTTTACATTTTCCTGCCTTCTCCGTCGCTGACATTTCATCTGTACCCGGAGCACTGAAAGCACCCGGCCTCCTCCTTTGCCGCATCCCACCACAATTGTGCGTTTTGGCCACATTATTGGTCAAGTCAATGATCACAACCGCCGCCGAACTCCTGCGGTTTGCATTTTGTATAAACGTCTGAAATAAAGCAAAGCAGGGCGTCCCTGTGAGGATTACCTGTCAACAGCAGGAGGATGGAGTAGATCGGCTGACTACAAGCCATTCAGGAAGTGGCAACGTTTGACCGAGGAGGAGGAGGTGGAGAGATGGGGGGTTCAGGCTTAAACCACCACACTGAGATAATTGTTTATCCCTTGGAGAAGCTTTGCTGTTTTGTCTGCGGGTGGCTAAGTAAGTTGAGCAGCAGTCTTTGCCGGCCCAGACCCAAGGCTTGGAAACATTAGGATGAATCAATTAGGCCGCCATTAGCCAATAAAGTGGCCCTCACTGAGTCGTGTAATTACGACCCACAGCAAAGCCAAGTTTATGGAGGCACATTATCCCCTTTTTTCTCCTTCTTCTATTCATTTGTTCGAGGCAATCTTTGCATTGTTGTAATTACGTGCTTTGGTTTCCACACAGAATAAATAAATCATTTGCTCCCATCAGTTCTGAGCACTGTTCAGCCTGTGGTTTGTAAGAAAAAAAAAACAAAACCACTTTTTTTCTCTGTTCAATTAGAAATGAACTCAGAAATCTAAAGTCGGCCCTCTCTAAGAGGGAGATGGTGGGAAGAGCTGATGTTCTAGGCAGGCAGCTACTTAGCTTGTTCCCAGCTCCGAGGACGCTGTGTAAGTGTGACAATGTGCTGTCAATGAGGGATGACAGTACACAGCCAACATGGCGTAATGCATTGTTCCTTCCTGGGTCCCTCCTGACAGATGCTCTCCAAGACAGCTGGATCAGCAGCGAGAGCGGCGCCGGGATCTGGGCCTGCCTGCGTCTGATGTGAGGCTGATTAGCAAGGCTAAGATACACGTGTCAACAAGCCAAGTCTGGGGATGGCATCAGAGTTTACGCTCATTGTCAATTTAAGAGCTCTTCATGTGCTTAATTCGAGCATAATGCACCAGATGGAGTAAGCGGCGCTGCTGGATCCAGTCGTTTGTTTCCCGTTTTTTCCATGACCTTTTCTTTTTTAGCCAGGGAGGAGGAAAAAAACAGTGCCGGATAGTTTCTCTCTGTCTCCCTTCCAAGACGTCTCCTAAGAAATGACCTTCTCTGCAACAGGCGCTCCTAGAAGACTGATGCTGGAGGAGCTTCAAGCCAAGTCAAATAAACACTCGCCGAATGTTAAGCAGGAAACTTGGCAGGCATGAAGAGAATTGCTTTTGTGGACACTGAGGATTTTTACATTCGCTTTTCATTCCACAGCCTAAATAGTTTATGAGTGTGTTGGAAAAAAAGTCAAGCCTTGAATTTTTAACTATATTAGTCTTTAAAATGTTCTTCCTGCGTTTCATACCCTGAAGTTAGTCTTTATTTAAAGATAATCTTTGTATTAGCCAACCTACTGCCTTTAAAATACCATTATTAACAATAACAATAAAAGATTCTGTTTTTTTTTAATCAGATGAAATGGTTAGGTAGGTATGCTTTGATCAGGGTTTCTACACTTATTTTATTGTAACATTCCATACTTTTCTAGATTAATATATTTTTACACTTTTTTTTAGCATTCTAGGCATTTGATTACAAAGCCTGAAACTGTTTGAAAAGAAGTCCAGTCTTATGATTTGTGGATTCCACAAACAACAAGACCACATAATGCTGAAACTTTTTTGACTGCTTCAATAAATAATGGAGTATCTTTGACTGAATGCAGATTGTCCAAAGCAAAGTTTGGGAACTTTGAACTGTTAAAAATCTTGAATGCAGTAATTTTTATATCCCTGTGGTCTTAATGCGACATCACTCAGGAGAAGTGCGGCAAATGATGCTCAGACAGCACCAGGGCGAAGGATGTCCTGTCAGACCATCAGTTCACAAAACCACACACAAAAACATTTTTCTAAATGTTCCACCACGCAAAGAGTTAAAAGCTCATGGGCTCCAAATGACCCATCTCTTTAGACTGTGGGAGGATTAAATAGGGGTGGCCCGATTTACCTGCCCTGATTTTCTTGATTTTGGATGATTGGCAATTGACTGATTCTTACATGAGAAACTGATCTTATGAACCTCTACAAAGGTCTGAAAATCAGCTATTTTCCCATGTTGCTATGGCGTTAGAGAGAACTGACAGATCACGTACCAGGTCACTTCTGCGCAGGTTAACCAGTCACCCCGTTGTTGCCGACTTAGCGACTTTTCAGGCAAAAAAAATAGGTATTGACTAAACTCATCAGTCTTTTTAAAAAGCAGTAATCGGCCTGAAAACTCTAATTAGTTTACCGCTGGTTTGGTTCAACCTAGTGTAAATTTAAGGCGGTTTTGTAGTGGTCCATTCAGTCGGTTAGTAACTCAATTCAGTCGGTTAGTAACTCAAAACTAAAAATACTAAAGGTGAACGTGTTAAAAGGAAGAAACGATTGATCTAATGAAAACACATCAAACAAATAGAAATCCATGTGCTCTGTTTTTCTCCAGACATTTCCAGAAAGCATAGAAAGGAATCCTGTTGGAGACAAAAATGGAAATAATCTTGGAGTTCCTTTAGTTTCTGTTGGATTCAAAATGACTACCTTTGTTGAAAAACCTGTTCGCATTGTAATGTTTCAACAAATATATGAATATACCAGCAGTGGGGATTACTAAACTGGATCTGGTGTCCAGTGTAGAAAAGCTGTTGGTCTTCACATCCACGCCATTGTTTTCCTGCTGGACGGATTGCTTGACAGCGGCTTATTTTCCTTCATTCCCTGGTTTTAACAGCCTCTTCACGCGGGTGTTTATGAGGCAGCAACTTTAGGAGACGGTGGCCCCTATGCTTGTGAGCAGTCAGGAGCAGAGGGAGCGGCGGGGGCCGGCCCTGACGGATGTTAACCAAAGCAGACAGGCGGGTTTAGAGTTTCTGACGGAGCGGGTCTGATCGGGTCACAACGGGGCTTAGAAGGTGCCTGAGTTGTCCCCCCTCTGAGCCTGGATAGATTACTGGTGAGGTGACGGAGACTGGATAATGAGACAGTATGTTTTTACACTGATATCCCAACAGACCCCCGGCTCCCCACCTCCGTCCTTCATCTTCCTCCTCCTCCAGCTCCCCTCCTTCTCTCAATCTACCCCCTGCTGAGCCCACCGCCTGAACCACTGACCTCTTCTGCTCACCCTGGCAGAAAGGGGGATTGGGGGGGCGGGTGGTGGGGTCCTTGTACAGTAGGCCTTGTTCTCATGCTTATGACACCCCCCAAACCCTCTCGGGTAACCAACCCGGTAATCACACCAAGCGCTCCCATTTTCTCTGAATTAATGAAGTGCTCCCCACGACAAAGTCCGACTCTGGGTTGATGTTGGGATCCGTTAGGAACTTGTGGCCCCGTTGTCGAGCAGAATGCTTTAGAGGAGCCTCTTATTGAAATGGATGTCTTCAGGATGGAGGAGGACGAGTCTGAGCCAGGCATTGATTTCACCCCAGAAAATGGAAGGTGGGATTTAAACGTCCTACATGGCAAGAGAGACCTCTAGTGGATGGCCATTTTTTTACCCATCTGACTTGCCAAACTGGACACACACACACACACCTTGCTTCACTACATCACATTAGATCATGCTGGTTAATATGAAATGTGCTAGCGATCCTCTGTCATGTCGTGTTTTACTCTAAATGGGCCGGCTCATGTGCAGGAATTGTTCCAATCCCTTTAGACAAACAGCTTCTACCAGAGCGGCTGACATGATGACACAGAAGAAAATTAAAAGGGAATGTTGATGGAGAATAGATCCCAAAATACTAAATCATCCTGGATTATGTTGTTATTGTCCCATTTATCTGCTGCTCATCTTTCCAATTCATCACTTGGTAAACAAAAACAAAAACTTTTTCTAAAGCCTAATTCTCAGTATCTTTGTAGCCAAAAGTGTTGTTTACACAAACTGAAATGATTGTTTTTATTTTGTCTTTACATATACATTTATAGACTACAGAAGTTTAATGCAGGATTCCAAAGAAATCCTGATATGAACAGTGAACACTGCCAAATTACAATAAATTTTCACATTTCATATTATGTATGTTTTTGTAAAGTCATTTATGCATTTGTAGTGAAAATACTGACCCAGAATCCTAACAAACTCAGAAGTTGTCTTTACTTGATGTTTGAACCAGCCAATCAGATGTCATTTCATGAACATACATTTTTATGTTCATTAAAATTTATGTTTTAATGAACATAAATTCTAATGAATTTATGTTCATTAGAATTTAAAGTTTATTGATCTTTGAGAATGTGTTCTAGTATTCTTATGCTATTCCCTTTATATTATCAAAAATGGTCTCAAAACAACAATAACATCGTTGATCGCAATAACTTATCATCCAGCAAAATTTGTTATCATGTCAGGCCTGTTACTTAACTGATGGTGAAGGATTCAGTTTATACTGAAGCTACTTCCTTCTCCCTCTGCTTGAGATTACCTTTCCCTCCCTCTGCTTGCTAAACCCATGCTTGTGTGTCAGGCGTGCAGCAGTTCTACGTCGCTGACAGCTTGTAACTGTACATCACCATCACCCCAGCTGTAGGTGTGACCTTTTAAGACTGACCTCTGACCTCCTCTTGTCACCACAGTGCTCAGCATCCGCGGTGCCCAGGAGGAGGAGCCTCCGGACCCCCAGCTCATGCGCCTGGACAACATGCTGTTGGCGGAGGGCGTGTCGGGGCCGGAGAAAGGCGGGGGCTCGGCAGCAGCAGCGGCTGCGGCAGCCGCCTCGGGAGGCGTGGGGGCCGACAACTCAGCCGAGCACTCGGACTACAGGGCCAAGCTGTCCCAGATCAGACAGATCTACCACACAGAGCTGGAGAAGTATGAACAGGTGAGGACAGCAGAACCAGCTGCACATCTGGTTATTGATGCTAAAGGAGCAGTATTGTTTAAAAGCAACTTTTTTGAGCTTTACATCATGTTGTAATGTTACTCCCTCATCAACAACAACAAAAATAAATTCTAATTCTAATTCATGCATGTTTGAGAAATCCTTTAATCTCCCGTGGTAACCACTCAGCTGTGCAAAACATATGGTTGGACTTAGAGCCGAAGTTTTCAAGCTTCACAGATCTCTGCTTCCCCAGAACTTCTCTACTCAACCCCTTCAGACTAGCTATCAGCAATTAGCAAACATCTGGTGGTACACAGCGTACTTCTTTACGTACATTGCACTTCTCAGTGCAATGTACGTAAAAACGTTGTTAAAGGGTTAATAGAGGAGCCATGTGGTGCTGACTTTTTCAAAGAAAGTTGAGGAGGAATGGCCTAAACTGACAGCGTTATTGATAAAAACAACATGGAGGATTTGGTAAAATGTCAGGAAGTAAGTTATTATTGAAGAACAAAATATAAAGTTTGTCAAAATGTCATGTGGAGGATTCAGTAAACAGGTTAAGGAAGGTTCTATAGGAAGATGGGACCTAACTCCAATTTATGGGGTCAAATGCAAAAAGCTCTGCTTGGTGAAAAACTAAAAATGCACATCATCCTGAAGACACGATCTCTGCTGAAATGTGGTTGTGTTCCTCACACCATCCACATCATGCTTTGGGGATGCTTTTCCGCAACATAGATGAGGAAGTTTGATATGGTAGGATGAATCATACTGAGGCTACCTTCACACAGCATTAAAATACCACATTAGATTTTGTAATGTTTTTAATCTTTTTTTAGCCAAAAGAACCTCTGGTCTGTGGCACTTCCTCAAGTGGGAAAAATTGAATACAATTGTTTTTCAAAGTGTCTGCAGTCAGAACAGTCATGTTATATTTAATCAGAGTGAAGCTGAATGAAACAGCATGCCACACTTTTCAGATTTTGTTTTTAAAACACATTTTTAAAATTCCCTTTTAGTTCAAACTTCTGAAAATAATCGGATTCTCTGAATTGTGTCAATGTAAAATAGACTTTACAACAGATGCATGCCCCACTTTTCAGCTCCATATTTGTAAAACATTTTGAAAACCATCTATCATTTTCTACTAACTTTATAAATCTACAATAATTTTACATCTCGATAAAACACATCTACATCTGTACATGTGAAAATATGAAAGGAGGTCAAACTGTTCATGGCTCTTCCAGGCCATTTTCTAATCTATCTGGTCGGTTCCAAACCATCATGAAGCCAGCAGGATATGTTTGGGTTGTAAGCCTTAAACATCAGAAAGAATCTATATCAGTTCAGCGCTGATATGAATTGAATCGCTCTTTTCTATTCATTTATTCTTTGTGGAATAAAGTGACAAGCCTCGCACACACTGTGTTTTCTTTAATGTACAGTACATCAGCTGTCAGAGAGGAATTCACTTCTGATGCCTCCTATCCCAGATTAGTCCATCATATGTAGCGCATCGTGTCACTGTGTGCATTCCTCTCATTGCCTTTACATCCGCCGCATCCGCGACAACAGTGTCGCTTTTGGCCCAGATAGACAGACACAGACAGACCCTGACACAGCTAAATCCAGGGAGGGATGGGGATGAGAAGCAGAAAGAGGGAAGAGGAGACGGTGAGAGCGGAATATTGCAGCACATTCACGCCCGGCGACACCGGAGACCCAACCAAACGCCGACTCCCAGGGTTAGCCGCGCCGTTAGTGTGTGTTGTCTGAGAGCGAGCAGCTGTCACCGGTTTCTCTCAATCACAATTTCTGTTAAATATGAAACATATAAGTCCTTATCTTCCATCCGGGGGTTTTGAGAACACTGCACCTCATACATACAGGCGACTCTTCTCTGCGCAACAGATGTGGCACAGCCTTGTTGATAAATGGAGGATCTCCATCTGCAGCTGTGTGTGAGCGGGCGGAGGCTGGCTGCTCTCTGACTGACCGCTGCTGCCTTCTCCACAGGCCTGTAACGAGTTCACCACCCACGTCATGAACCTGCTGCGGGAGCAGTCGCGCACGCGGCCCATTTCACCCAAAGAGATCGAGCGCATGGTGAGCATCATCCACCGCAAGTTCAGCTCCATCCAGATGCAGCTCAAGCAGAGCACGTGCGAAGCTGTCATGATCCTGCGCTCCCGCTTCCTCGATGCCAGGTGTGTGTGTGTGTGTGTGTGTGTGTTTTTTCTATCTGTGTGCACATTTGTGTTGCTCTGTGCTCTACACAGGCCTTAAATTCATGTATCTTAAATTAAGACCTTAAAATGTCTTAAATTCAGTAGAAATTCAGGTCATGTGTAGTAGGCAGTTCAAGCAACATCTTGAATATTGAATATCTTTCTGCTACAAAATAAGGTTTTTGTAAGGTTTTTCTTTGTGTTTTAGTATCTCGTTTGTGACTTGTCTGGAGTTTTATATCTTTCTTTTGAATAAAGCAAACACAAACTTGTGTGTAAGAAGCCTGAGCAAAACAGTTCAAACATGAGCTTTTCATTTCTACTCTAAAACATAAACATGACAGAATTTTTAATGTAAAAGAAGAAAGTAAAGGAGGAAAGAAGTAAAGAAGAAAACATCCAAACTATTTGGAATATTTAAACTATTTCTTTTTCTCAGTGTAATATTCCCATCTTACAGTTAGTCTGTTAGTCTGAATGGTCGTTTATTTCATGAACGACCCTGTTTGTGAAATAAAGGGTCATTTTCATGAATAGTCCCATCTCCACCTAAAGATATCACATAACAAACACAATTGATTTTTGACCAGTTTTCTGTGATTACATATAAAGTCTCGAGTGTATTTGCAAATTTATTGTGAGGGAATGCAATATGTTTGCGAGGTAACGCAAAAGAAAAAAATCACCCCATGTCCTCTAGGGGGCTCTGTATAATCTAATATTCTATGTAGTTTAGACTTTTCTGTTGGGTAGCAGATTGAGTCTCACACAAACATCTTCATTGCGTTCTGTGGCTCAAGACTGTCGAAGCTACCGCTAACTAGCTGCTAACCATTCTAGCCTACTAGCTTTTTGCGTTTGTCATGGATAAGTGTAAATTTATCACTGCTGGACGATATTCATCTTTGCCACTCAATCACTTTTGTTGCTAACCCATACAACGGGACATTCGTTCTGTGCAATAAAGCATGGCACCACAACGATATACGATATGGAACTTTTCTTTATACATTTCTGTTGTGAAACAGGCCTTACATTGAATTATATCTCTCTTAAAGAGGCTTAAATTTGAGTTGGTGAAACCTGCAGAAACCCTGTCGGCATAACAACAGCACAAATACGCCTATGAAGAACTGACATTCGGAGCTTGGTGTGTTTGGTAGTTTTTCTTTGCTGCGTACCACACAAGGCGGGCTGGTTTGGATGCCGTTTAGAGTAGAACACCCAGCAAAGTCGGCCAGTAAGTGCTCCCCGTGTGCTCAGCAACACTAACAGTTTCCCTGTTTTAATGTAATCGCTTGTTCTCTTTGATGCGTGTTTTGGATTTGCATAAATTTCTCCAAGGATAAATCCCACTCAAAGCCTGGGTTGGAGGCATAACATTTAAATGAGGCGTGTGCGCCCGTATAAAGCTTCCCTATCTATTCTCTTGCAAATGAACATGACGGTGCCGCCGCCACAGCAGCAGCAGCAGCAGCAAAGAGGGGAATAGGATGGGAAATGTGCAAAAGATTTTACTGGTTGAGAGGCACTAGCATGCTCTGCACCTCTGATTAATCTACTGGCTGCTGGAGCCCATGCTGTGCACATTTACATATTTTTCTTGCGAGCTGTTGGAGCGGGGGACACAGGTTTTAGCGCAAATCTCCTCAGCCAGCCGGCACATGCAAAGAGGTTTTGAAGAGTTCCCTTTCAGCTTATGTAAAGCCCTGGTGGGATGTGGCGCCGCCAGACGTGACCTGATAGGTGCAGAAGATGGAGGGGTCAGCCAGCTCTAAAGCTCCGCTCTGCTCCGTCTGCTTAAAGGTGTTCTGGCAGATAAATATGTTGGTGTTCATGTCGGATCAGTCTAGCCTGCGTCTCTGCTGTCAAACAGCATGGCTTCCTAGATCCTGCTTCCAATACGCTTCTAACAAAGCTCATGTAGGGTTTCATTTACTGAGGTATTATTATCAATTACAACCAGCATTCCATAAAAAAAAATCTTTTTTAAAGAAGAGCCTATAAAATGTAGTAGCAAAATCCTGAATTCTGATCTGACGATCTGATTCTGAAAGTTTTGATTTTAACCTGAAAAAAGTAGCAGTTAAAACATGCAAGTTGCAATTTGAATGTTATGCTTAGATATACTTTATTGAATCCAATTGTTATGTCTTATTTATAGGTATGAGTATATTATTTAATAAATCTGGGGTCAAGGTTCATGTGTTTTATTTTTAGAACAGTTTGATATACTTTTACTAAGAAGGCTGTAGTGAATATTAAGATTTCTTGTACTGATACTTTTTTGTTAACACAATAAATCATAAAAATAAACCACAAAATGTCTTGATAAAATTTTATGTCCATATCACCCATCCCCTCTTTTCTGCATGATAAACTAGGGGTGCATTGATAAAGCGGTCAGCCGATAAGTCTACCCCAATCTAATTGATTTTTGGAGATTGGTGATTGGCTGAGACATGTGAAACCGATCTAATCTCTGCAAAGGTCTGAAAATCAGCCACAGTCCCCAAGTCACATCTGCATATGTGTGGTTGACAATAGTCATCCCACTGTTGGTAACTTAGTCATTTGGTTTCTGTATTTGGTGACTTTTCAGACAAAAAAAAATGGAAAGAATGATAATACACTAAAAAAAACTGCGATTGCTTCACCACTAAAGTATGACGAGGCTCCTTTTGAAAATAACAACCTTTAAACATGTAGACACATTTCTGTATTAAAGGTTTTATTATTGGTCTGATGTAGTATTGTAATTTTAAATATCATGTTTTAATTAGCTGGAAGCAGAAAATCAACATACTTACCAAAAATGAAGTCTTGAAAGCATCATTTCAAGTGGAATTAATCTATGTAATCTGTCTCACTTACTGAATTAAGTTCCTGATGTGAAGCCATCAGTATGGCAACAGAATCAAGGTGCCACAGGTCAAAGTGTCAAACAGATTGAAATGGTTTTGTGGGACATCAAGATAGTTGTGCAGAAATGAGTGTTTCCAAACAACGTGACTAACAGTCAGACATGTTAAAGGAGAGTTTTTCCTCTCCACTGTCACTACGTGCATGCTCAGTGTGAGGGAATGCTGCAGAGTCAATGACTGGATGCAACCTGGTGGGTCAGGTCAGATTTCACACTGTTGCTGTCCAACGCGCTGAGACCGACCTGTTGTTCTCCTTGCAGGCGGAAAAGACGAAACTTCAACAAGCAGGCAACGGAGATCCTGAACGAGTATTTCTACTCACACCTCAGCAACCCCTACCCCAGCGAGGAGGCCAAAGAGGAGCTGGCTAAGAAGTGTGCCATCACAGTGGCCCAGGTACGAGCAGATCAGAGGCTCCCCTCACCCCCCGCTGTGGGACAAGGACCGTTTTAACTGAAGATGCTGTCAACGTCCGGACCACTGACCTAATACAAGGTTCACAGGCTGTTTTGGATACAGGCGGCTCTTCTGTTCTTCTAGCTGTTCTATTCATTAAAACAGATATGGTGTAAATATGCCTTATCATTTTTACAGTTTTCAAAAAAACTGTAAAAGCTCATTCTGAGGTGTGACAAGGTTCCTTTAGTAGAAACGCAAACTGCACATCAACATGCCCTCGTGAGTTTAAATTGAAGTTTTATCCTTAGTCAGTCCCTGCAGGAAGTTGAGATGGCAAATATTAATACAAATTCATTCATCATTCATAAATTTTGTGCAAACTTGCAATTTCACTGGTCATCGCTACTTTCCTGCATCCTGACCAATCATCTTAATATTTTCTGAAATTCCTTCTTTTCTGACCAATCACTGCAACTCACAGGAATTTTGACCAATCCCCTTCGTACCATTCTAATTTAACTTCCTATGACACGTCATCTCTTGAAAACAGAACCTGGGAGATGAAAGCATGTGTGATACTAAACATTAAGGAAACATTAATTTTTTGTAATTAAAACCATTTCAATATAATCAATATTGAAATGGTTGAAATGAAATATAATCAATAAGTCAGTCATTTTAAACCACAACAATCACAAAAACGCACCTCATAACACACCACACCACAAATCTGAGGAATTGCTCAGTGCAGTATAAGTCAGATATGGGGGATCTGAACCACCTTCATCTAGAGAGATTTACTAACAATGGAGTTACAGCTAAAATCACACCTTGCTGAAGTATCACATCCTTGCACTTTATCATGTTGTCTCGCCCAACTGCGATGTACAATTAAAGAAATCATATTTTCAAACTTAAATCAATTAACTTTATTTATACCAAGTCAACTTTCTTGCCAAACAGGAAATTTTACACAAGCACGCAATAAATATAAATATAACATGTTTAAAAGTCACTCATTGTGCAATACTTTAAAATAATAAAGAACACAAAAACAACAAAATAAAAACGCATTGTAGCCTCATGAAGACAAGGTAAAAAAAAAATTACAGGGATAAGAAAAGCAAGGTTAAACTATGCTAAATTTAATTTTGGAAACTTATGACCACAGGAACCAAACTTGTTTTATAGAACTTAGTTTTACAGTATGTTTGTATCCAAGCTGCTCTTATCCAGGTCTTATCCAGGTGTTTATATCAATATCCATTGATGTTATGACCAATAACCAGTATTTACTGATATTTACTGATATTGTATATTTATTATATCTCATTACCCATTCAACACCTTGAAAAAAATGTTGAATGTAGACACATTTCTACATTGTGTCTTCAGCGCTGACTTCACCACTGCTTCTCTGTTTCAGTTAAACTCCCACAATCCTTTGCTTCATTACCATCCTTGTCACATGACCAGACTTCTCCCGTTCCCCTTCTGAAACAAACGGCAACAAGATGGAAACAAATATCGGTTGCTAATATTGCCCCAGTTTGATTATGTTTTAAAAAATGACTATCATCTACTATTTATTTGTGTTGATATATTGTGCATCCCTGAATAATGCGCAATATTATTGTTAACATGAAAACATTGAAGGGATATTAATACCTTCACAAGACATTGTAACTGGACTTCTTCTTGAACAAAGCAATAACAATAGTAGCTACAAAATAACCAGCATCCTGGAAACAGCACAGGTCCACTCTCCAATGTCTGGTAGAAAGAATCACATGGGATTTAGGACGAGTCTTTTAATTGGGAGCTAAAGTAGCTGCTCCATCCTTCACATCCAGTCATCACTGCACAATTCCAACTAAAATTCCACAAAAATAGCCACTAGCACAAGGCAGCATTAGCTTTTCTAAAGCTGATGAGTCTAAGACAGAAACCTGAGCTTAAATAGTGAATATTTAATACTTGTCCCATGTTAATCCAGTCCCATGTTGACCTACTGTAACTGTTATAGGAACTCATCACACGACTAAAGACATCTGAATTGTGCCAAAGTTTGTGGCATCACACAATTGTGAAGTATTTAAAAATCCTGTTCATGTTTTTTTGTTGTTGTTGTTTGTGTCATCTCTACACTTCAGCAACTCCACTTGTTTCAATCCTGTGAGAATTGATAATAAGGAAAACAATGACAACGCCAAGGTAAACAGCAGTTTGTGTTGTGAATCCATCATGTGGGAATGGATTGTTTTCTCAGTTGCTTTCATTAATTTCTACCAAATGATCTAAGGATGCAGCTGGGCTCGACGGTGGAAGCTGCTCGGTAGCTCGGTGATTTGTGGAGTTTCAGTTTCTTGGCTATAACAAAGGAGAATGTTTACCTACTCTGTCTATTAGAAACTTTGGAGGATTGATTTGGTTTTCATTTTAATGTTGTTTATCATTAGGGCTGGGATTACCCCCCTGGCTTCATCTGGGAGTCCATTAGCCGTAATGGGTGTTAGCGGAAGTTGACTGATTGGTGCTTGCGTGACTTCTGATGATAGCTGCAGTCATGGTGACATAATGAGACTGTTATTGGCAATCATTCCATTCTGGCACTAATGCAGATTCACAGCACCAGTCTGTGCAGCCCGCACTCCTGACAGTGGCTCTCTGCAGTGTTCCACATGCCATTAAAGGCCATTCAAGCTAAACACTATTCTTTAAAGAGGCTCTGTGTGGCTATATGTCTGGAGAAGTAAACTTTCTTCTCTTTTTTTTCTCGTTCCTGTCTGCTCAGGTTTCCAACTGGTTTGGGAATAAAAGAATCAGATACAAGAAAAACATTGGTAAGTTCCAAGAAGAAGCCAACATGTATGCTGCAAGAACTGCCGTGAATGCGGCTAATGCATCCTCACATGGAAGCCAAGCAAATTCACCCTCCACTCCAAACTCTGCAGGTGAGACAGGAAGTCCCTGGCTCTGCTGGGGTTAGACATATACTTCCTCTCTGTCCATCAGTGTAACACATTTAAGGCTTTTATTAGTGCTGATGCTGTAACGCTCCTTTGTAAAGGACTAAATAGGCCACTATTCTACATAAATTATGCCCATCACATAATTATGCACTGTTATTTCCATAAATAGACTCAATGCTTATACTCAGCAAGTATTATTAGTGCCTACATCTGCTTAGTATGGCTCTGAGCGATGTGGAAAAGAGCTGTTAGAGTTTAAGCAACCTGAGCCCTCATGCAGTCTCCATGTCCTTACTGTCCTTTCTACTTGCTCTCAATTAATCCTGTGTGCCCTCATCACTGTGTTAAATGATTTCTAATGGCATTCGAAAGATACGTCTGGTAGTACAAATGGCCAAAAACTCTGATATATGGACAAATGTGTCGGCACCCCTGGTAATAATGTTTAGCAACCCTTAAAAATGATTTTACCTTTTATTGCAGTAGCACAAACTCACCTTATACTGAAGTACAGTCATAAGAAATACTTTTTAAAAGGACAGTGTTAGGTAATTATGTTACCTCCAGTTGTTATAAAGAGGCTTAAATATGACTTAAAAGAAATCTGACTTCATAATTTAACACCTTAAAATTGGGCTTCTGTCTCTTTAAGAAGCTCCTGTTCTTTTTGAAGCGCCGCCTTCAAGAAGTCATCATAACATCGCTGCTAACCCTTTAACAATGTTTTACTGGTGTTTCACTGAGAGGTAACTTCTATAATGAGCTCAGTAGTTCCACCAGGTGTTTGCTAATTGCTGCTGACTAGTCTGAAGGAGCTGAGTGGAGAGTCTTGGGGGGAGGACTGCTCTTTGAGGCAGAATTTCGGAAACTGCAGCTCTGAGGAGGAGCTGCGTCTCCACCAGACAATTTATGCAGGTGAATGGTTGCCATGGAGACTAAAGGATTTCTCACACATGCATTAAAGAATCAAGGTAGCACTCCAGGTATAATGTAATTATAGCATGATGCAAAGTTCAAAAAAGTTGATTTTACATAATACTGTTCATTTAATAAAATCACGTTTACCACAGTTCTTGGAACCTCGGCTGTTTAATACATTCGTACAAAAATCAAAATGACAACTCTAGGTGTTAGAGGTCTTAGGTTCTAAAAGATTTTGGAGTGTAAAATAAGGTACATTTGAATGACTTTGCATAACTTCAGTAGATCTGGGGTGTCCAAAGTGTGGCCCCAAAGGCCATTTTCAATGATGGCCCCTGGCATGAGTTTTTGTGCCACACAGCTGCATTTCAACAAAGTCAAAATTCATGAGTATTTCAAAGAGTTCATGATGCCACGCACTCATACAAAGATCCCAGGGCCTTGAAAAGAGACTAACCCACAGCATGACAGATTCTCCATCGAGCTTCACAGTGGAAGTGAGCTACTTTCATCCCTTTTCTCCAGCCAAACGAACTTGGAGTGTTTGTTGCTTTAAATCCAGATCATACTCTCAGCGAAAACACACGGCCACAGATAACACCACATGTTGATATTTGTCATGGTAGAACAGAAAATATTTAATTTTTTTCTTGGATCAATACCAAACATCTAGTTGGTGTGTAAACGATATTGTAATGATTGCTATGGAGATTTAGTGAAAACAAGATGCAGTTTTCTAACAGTGAGGCTTTTTTTTTTTTTTTACTTTGCTTTCCATTTGGAACATACATTAGCCCCCGTGTAAGAACCTAATGTAAGTGGCTAATGACTGATTTAGTCATACTATGAATAAAAAGCCACAGATCGCTAAATAGAAGTTGGAGAAGCTGATCGCCTCATCAAAAACTCCATTTAAAGAATGGCTTTGTTACATTTACTTTAAAGGAACTGTATGAGTGTAATGACTGTATCAGTAATGACAGCAGTAATATTGGTAAAAATCAATGAATTCTCAACATGGGATTTTTTTTCCCCACTGTTTAAATCTGCCTAAATTACATAAACACTTTTCATTGCTGAATTATACTACTGCAATAAAAGATGAATTTGTTTTCAGATTTTTAACATGTCTTTATTGGGGGTCCATACAAATGTATATGACTGTACTCAAACATATAGCAGATAAGGGAAATAAAAAATAAAAAATGGCCACCATGAGCCAGCCTGAGACTGAGAGCTGCTTCCATGTTTCCTATGGAGTATCACCACATTGGGTTCTTATCAATATCGTTTCACCTTCCTCTCTCCTTGTAGACACAAGTGAAAAATGATAGTCCCCTTCTTCATATGTCCATGAAGCCACTTTTAGTTCACACAGGATAAAATAAATGTGACTGGCCACGGGAACACCAGGAACGATTTTCAGTGGGAGCATTTTGAGTTACAGATTCTGAAAGTTTAGAAGCTTTGTAATGATGTTAAAACACATAAAAAAGAAAAAAAAATGAAGAAGATGTGGCCATTTGAATGTTGGCGCTCATCAAAAGAGATCAGTGAGAAAACAGGTGTCAAAGTTTCAGAACACTGTCCAGAGACCTGCTCAGATCTGGAAACAAGCCTAATTCAAACAATGTTTGCCATATTAAAACCTCCAAAATGGCTATTTAAAGCATGGCAGTGTTTTTTTATGATTTCAACTACAGAGTCTATATAAAAAATACAACAAATAGTATTTCCTCAGAAGTTGGTAGTTTTTATGTTTATTCTCCATTTCTGTTCTAGTGACTGATTCCTGGTTTTGCTTTGGTGCATTAGCATTAGCGTTGCTAAGTTGGAACATAGCAATGCTAATGTCTATCTGGATCTGTTCATATGACAGAATGTGATCATTTTAAAAATGGTATGAAAAAAAGAAATACTGGACTTAATTTTTTAAAGCTTTTCTGAAGATGTTTAAGTGTTAGACTTTATGACGAGTGAAAAGTGGTTTCCTAGCTCAGCCTAGCATAAACAGGGAGCTTTTCTATATAAGTGACAGAAGCCTGCTTTCACTCATATACTATGGATCAAATGTTTAAAAAAAAGTGTGTTTGTGGTGATAGAAGACTCTGTCAGTGAGTCAGTGATAATCACAGCCGAAGAGAGCATTTTCCTGTTCTATTTCCTGTTTGCCTAACAAACAGCCTGCTCCCTCTGTGTGTAACATTAACGTTAAAGCCTAGACTGTCCCTGTGGATATTTCTCCTGGCTCAGCAGCTCTGATGTCAGCCAGCTTCTGCTGCTTCTGCTGCTGCTGCTGCTCACTAACCTGTGCATGCTGCTTGAACGGCTCGTCTTGCTTCTCCTGCTGGCTCTCTGTGATTCCACTGCTCCCTCTCTCCTTCCAGGTTCTGCTGGCTCTTTTAACATGTCAAACTCCGGGGACTTGTTCATGAGCGTGCAGTCTCTCAATGGGGACTCGTACCAAGGGGCTCAGGTGGGAGCCAACGTGCAGTCGCAGGTAGGGCCCAGTGCTGGACAGGAAATAGGCTCCTCCACTGCTTTCATTAGAACATACATTACCTTACTGGTCCTCTGCCTGCAGTTATGACGTATAACACAGTTAGTCCCCACTAAATCTATGAAATATATTCACTCCAAGCTGTGAATAAATTATTAGATTATTAGGGTTTGCTTTGGGGTTAAGGTGCAAGATGAATAAAACATGTTTGAAATGTTCTTTGAACTGAAAAATGTTCCAAGAACTATCAGGGTTGATAGTGACCTGTAGTTATTGTGTTGGTTATTACATATTCTTTATTTGACTGATTGATTTTATTTCAATGTTACAGTGCATATTAATGAACATTTAATGTTGTGGTAAATAACATTACCACAACATTAAATGTACCGAGTATAGCAGAAAGCTACCTTCCATCCATGGTCCCATAAAACATACAACACAAAATACAAATATTCATACAATTATATATATAAAATTAAGAAATAAAGTAAAAGCTAATAAAAACTACATGTAGTTGGGAAAAACTATTGTCAGAATACTATGAAGTCATGGGTCTAGATGTTCAGAATATTTTCACATTATTAACTTGAACCTTTTGGAAATATTTTCTATTTAACAACAAACTTCAATGTATTTTATTGAAAGGTAAAAAGATTATAAGTTTAATTATTGCTACAAATAAAAATCTGTAAAGTGTGAAGTGCATTTGTGTTAATCATCCCCTGAGCTGAAACCTTGTAGAGCCACCTCTCACTCAGTCTGCTGGTGTATAGCTGTAAATGCTCCGTCCTGCTGCTAGGTGGCGCTCCAGCCCAGTTTCTGGTCTTTTGCAGCCTTCGTATCCAGCGTTGCTTTGCATTTAGCTCCATCTATCCTCCCATCAATTTTGTCTTACTGATGGAATCCCCACAACATGATGCTTCCATTACCATGTCTCACAATGTGGACGGTGTTTTCAGGATCATGTGTGATGTTAGTTTTCCTCTGTTCCAGTTCACTTTCAATCTTGACCTCGTTTTCCCAAAGAACCTTCTTCCACATGTGTCCTTTGTCCCTTATAGGACTGCACGATTTAATGAAAATATTGCCGTGGCGATAATGTTGGTAAATATTACGATGACGATATCTGGTTCGATATACTAGTACTTTCCTGTCTTTACTCTGTCTGACCTTTAGCATTTTTGGCAATGTTATTCATGTCCGGTGTGAGCGTTTGCTGCTGAAAGTCTCTGAACAACTGATGTAATATTGCGTCAGAATGAAAAATACAACCTAAGAGCTCTTCACATATAGTAGCCACTTCACTCCAAACAGTCCTCTGCAATTTCAATATTGTGCCTGCTGGTATTGCGATGGTGATATCTTTGTGATATCGTGCCTATATGACCTGTGACGTCTTAGTGGGGATGCACCGATTGCATTTTTCTGGCTGATCACTAATCTTTAAAAAGCCTGACCTTCTGATTCTGATTTTGACTGAAATGGTGTTTGTGACTGAAATGTTACTAAACATGGAAACAAAGTCACTAACTTGGAAACAGTGGGGTGACTGTTGTTAAGCGGGTCTGCCAGTTAGTCCTCTCTCATAGCAGAGCAACAGTGACAGTTGCTGCATTTCCATTTCAAATGTGAGCAAAACTTTGTCATTATTCCGCTAATGTTGAAAGAACAATTTTGCAATTACTGTGTTTCCATTAAATAAGAAACACAATCGAAATCACACATGAATAAGTTAGTTCACGATTAGTCATTAAAAAAACCATGCAGCTCCATCATCCTCCTATCACTTCCTGTTGTCTTCTTTGTCTTTTCCTCTAGTAGTGACCTATTTGTTGATCACGTGATTCGTGTGATGCGAAAAAAGTGTTGAGTTTTGTGTTTTGTGAACTACATGATACTACACTAACTTCAATATGGTCGAAAAAAATACCTCCTTGTAGCTCAAAAATGTTTTACAGAACAAGGTGAGTTTTTTAAACAAGCAAATTTATTTTTGTATTTCTAATTGGTGCAATTTCCATTAAATAAGAAACACAATCGAAACGCAAATGGAAACGCAGCTAGTGACAGATTGTCCGACTTTCTTATGGCTTCCTTTCAATAGTGACTTTATTCTTGTCAATCTGTCATAAAAACCAGATTTTGGAAATACCCTCCTGCCCCCCTCTACCAACTCCCTTGTGTTGCCTGTCAGTTCCTTATGGGTTTTATTTAGGTGTATCAGAGTAAAGGGGCATAATTGAAATGCACTCAACACTTCCAGAAGTTTCATTTGTAAAATCATGAATCCTTTTTCCTCCACATCTCAACAGATGCACTGTTTTGTGTTGGTCTATCCAATAAAGGACTATTCCCAATTCACTGATTCCTCAATCAGACAAAGAATTATGTTTTCATCAAGTAAATATTTCATCATGTATGTAAATATTTCCATTTTTTGTTAGCAGAAAGTGAGTACTTGTCTTCGTTGAGCTGTGTTTGTCTGTTGTCTCCAAGGACAGAACCCTGTAGAGTTGCTGTCCCTCGCTCTGATCTCTGGTGATTTTTCGTGCTGACGCTGACCTTGCTCTGTCTGCTGTTTGGGGATGTTTCAGGTGGATACCCTTCGCCATGTTATCAGTCAGACAGGCGGATACAGTGAAGGACTCACAGCCAACCAGATGTACAGTCCGCAGGGCATCAACGTAAGCATCCTCTTCCTCTCTTCTCTCTCCATGCCAATTATTCTGACGCCACGGGGCTCACAATGCCACTTAGTGGGACTTGTCTCAGCTCCACGGTAACCCATTTGATTGGCTGCATATCGCACCGGACACACACACGCACACACACACACACATAAACACATATGCAGAGCCTGTCACGTCCCATCAGACCCGTCCAGACACCTGCTGCCCCCCACCCCTGCCCAGGTGACACCTCCTTCCCTCCACCTGACCCGCTGTTAGCCGGAAGCTTCCGGTAAAAATAAAAGCTCTTTCTGCTGCTGCAGCGGCCTCCTCGTTCGCCACAGGGGTGTGTTCTGGTCTTGTTTGTCTTATTTTGCAGCAGAGTTTGGGGTGTGGAAGTGGGGAGGGTGGGTGGGTGGGTGTTAGCTGGCGGCAGCAAAGAGTAGGAAAATTCACAGCGACAAGCCGTGTCGTAAAGGGGAAAATCGATAAGACAGACACAAGGAGAGCAGAGTGTGGGCCTGGGACAGCAATCCAAGCGCATTGCTCAGATCATGTTCCTGTCTCTTTAATGGCCCTGACAGCGAGCCGAGAGGACGAGGACGGTCACCGCCTCGCCTCGCCTCGCCTCCTCCGCTGTCGCCGTCCTGCCTCACTGGCCATATGATAATCAGACGAAATGTCTCCCGCATAGAAAAACACGGGCTGCGTATTCAAATAGGCTCCCCGGCTGCTGGGAGCGGCCGCCGCAGCCGGCTGCGCTAACCCTGAGAGGCCGCTAACGTATTCAGGGCCCGCTCCCTCCCAGTCCTTTGACCTCTAACATGCAGTTCTCCTTGGACGCCTGCTTGCTCTACCACATCTTCCACATCCTCACTGCCACACTACGCCGTGTTCTGCAGCGCTGCGGCCTGTAGAGAAGCCCCGCGATGCATAATGGAGGAGCAGGATATCTGTCAGCCAGGCTGTTGGTCTGTGATTTATGTAGCCATGGCTTGGAAGTTAGAGGAGGGGGGTCTGCTGCGCTCATGCTTCTTCTTTACAACACTTCATTTTACCCTTTTTTTTTATTCTGGTATGAAAGGCAAATTTTTCTTTGGGTTTTTGAAACAGGTTTTGTTGTATTTTAGTTCCTTAATCAACCCAGAGTGTATTCCTTAGATAATTTGCTCCCTGTTATTCTGTCCCTGCAGTTTTTCACAATTTCATGCAATATCAATAGATCCTCACATTTTTTCACACTAATTCATAACTGAGTTTATTTCAAATATTCTGGAAATAAGTAGTCAAAAACATTGGATTCAAACAATGCTAACTCCCACCTGAAAGTGGCAGTATTTCTTACTTTTACTACACTGCTGCCACAGACTTATTTAATGTCACGTGATCAATATGGAGAGAAACAAAACTCAAACTATTTAAATTCTTTAAGGAATAAAAATGTTTTTCCCACATCGTTGGAAAGGGTCTAATGAGGAACTGATTGCAAAAACAATCAGGAACTCCTATTGGGACCGATTAATAAAACAGTCAGCTTCACTGCATGGTTCTTGTTCTCAAGGAAACTTATAGTTTACCTATTTTTAAATAAAAGATGTCTGATGTTTTCCTTACTGTCTAAAAGTCTTGAAATATTCATTTTAGTGGAGCAGATTTTCTGATTTGATCCGTTTCTGTCAAAACATCTGTTTGATTTGATTCTGGTTCTGGCAGTCCTGACAGTATAGTTGGTGTTTTTATGGATGCAGTTAAAGTAAGGTTGTGTGTCTTCTTAAAAAAGTTATTAATAACTACGGGTGCAGCCATAAAATGACCCTGGTTTGCTTAATTTTGGCTGATATAAGATGAGCTGATCTCATGTGCGTCCATAACCTAGTGATTTTGCTGCTATATTTATTGTTTATTCAGACAAAACAAATCAGTATCAGCCAAATTCTGAATCGGCAGGTGAGGTTTTTTTTTTTTTTTAAAGATCAGTGATCTGCCAGAAAACTTCAAGTTTCAGTTTTACTCATCTAGAATTTTTCTATTTAATTTGATAGTTTTAATCATTTAAACTATTTTTTTCTCTGTGGAACAATGTTAGCTTCAGTTAGAATTCCCTGTTATCTGTTAGAGGTTTATCTAACATAACATAACATAACATAACATAGTGTCGGAACGCCCACTTGTGCCCAAGTTTCAAAAGTCCAGCTGCTGATTTAAGATGAAGTTGAAGTTCATCCTTCCATCCACTCTGTGAGGTGCAGCAGCTGCACTGGCACCACATTTCTGCTCCTTCTCAGTCTGCGTTGATGTGAAACCTTCTGGCTCCTGACAGAGAACCAACATCCACCTTTTCTTCCAGCTAGAGCTCTCAGATATCCAGTCAGAATTATAGCAGAAGTTCGTTGATAAAAGGGGCAGTGTTATGTAAAATGGAATTTTTTGAGCTTCACATCATGTCGTAATGTTTTTCACTCATCAGAAACATAACTGGACTGTTGCCTTGATTCTTACATGGAAGTTTGAGAAATCCTTTAATCTCCACAGCAACCATTCAACTGTGATAAACACCTGGTTGGACATAGCCCCGCCTTCAAGGTGCAGCTCCTCCTCAGAGCTGCAGTTTCCAAGCTCTTCATAGGAGCTACTTCTTTGTGATTTTATTTTATTTTTATAATGTTTAAGGGTTATTAGGGGAGCCATGTTGTGATGACTTCCTGAAGGCGGAGTTTCAGAAAGAGCAGGAGTTTCTTAAAGAGACAGAGGCCTAATTTCAAAGTGTTAAATTACAAAGTCAGATTTCTTTTAAGTCATATTTCACTTAATAGAAATTCATAATGACTCAAAGTAACATGATATCTGATTGTGCTAAAAATCCATAATATCAGTCTTTGAAAATCAGGTGGAAAGTGATGCTGAATGATATATCGATGGGACAGTATGCATAATTTTGACCCCATTTGTTGTTATTAAAGTTGCAGAATGATTTTTACCTGTAAATATTTCCATAAGTGACTGACTGTCCTTTGTGTGTGTTTGTGTGTCAGGCTAACGGAGGCTGGCCCGACGCTCCCACCCCCTCCTCAGTGACTTCCCCCACAGAAGGACCAGGAAGCATTCACTCTGACACCTCCAACTGATCCTCCGCTCTCCGACTCCCACCCACCGCTCTCCTCCCCCCCACCCCCACCCCCACCCATCCTGCAGGACTGGATGTGACTCGAGGCAGTCGGGGTCTGGGGACAATGCTTCCACCATTTTTGTAGTTTTTTTTTCCTCTTTCTGTCTGGACCTCCTCAGCAGCTTCGCCAGCCTGCAGAGAGAACTCACGTCTGGGCTTCACAGTTTGTATATTTTCCACTCGATGTCCAAGTTGCCTCTTTGTATTTCACTTTCTATCATGAACTCCTACTGTCCGCTCCCAGCCCACCGAGTGGCCACATGAAACACACTCATGCTACCTCTGGTTTCAGCTCCAACACAGCAAGCGATTCAACTGCTCCCATTTAGCATTATCGTTCCCGCAGCCTGATTGTTTTTACGGATCCGTCTTGCCAAAGTTCAGCCCTGGAGGTGAATTTGGGTTCAGTTTTAATCTCATTTACTAACATCCTGCAGAGATTCATCCCTCTGAGCTTTTCCGCATGTTCTCTGCTTACAACCACAAACCTCACCGGGTTTTGATTGGATTTTATGTGATTGACAACAACAAAAAAAAGTGCATGAAAAGAAAGAGGATGAAAAATGTGGATATATGTTACACATAAAACTTCTAGAAACAAATAAAAATCTGATAAGTGCGTCATGAATTTACAATCTATTCAGCCTCCCATGTTTCAGCAGATCAGGAGTCAGCAGCCTTTGTCTTCGGTACAACTGAACAATGAAGCTACACGACCCTTCAAAACAAAATTACCATTTTTTATCATACCCTTATTTATGATTTTATTTTTTAAATTAAAAAAGCACTACAACTTATTTGAAAATCATCAAATGGAAATTAATTAAAAAAATTTAATAGAACCTTCAAATTTTAGAAAATTTCTTAAAGGGGCAGTGTTGTGTAAAATCAAAGTTTTTTTAGATTTACATCATGTTATATTATCATCAAAGACACACTTGGAGTGGTGCTTTGATTCTTTCATGCTTGTTTGAGAAATAATTTAATCTCCATGGCAACCATTGAGCTGTTCAAAACACCTGGGTGGACCTACCTCCGCCTTCGAAACACAGCTCCTTCTCAGAGCTGCAGTTTCCAAGCTACAGACCTTCTGGTACACAAAGCACAACTCCCTGACTCAGCTCCTCCAGACTAGCCAGCAGTAATTAGCAATTAGTGGACCTGAGTATTTGCTGAGCTTTTTATAGGACCTTCTATGCTGTCAAAGTGTTAATAGAGGAGCCATGTTGTGATCTTGTGTTGGTTTGTGGTTGTAAAATGACAAAATGTGAGAAAGTATAAATAATTTTGGAAAGGACTGTTTGTTGAGTCATGTAGTGAAAAAGTATTGAAGTACTTCTGTCTCTGCGATTAACAGACTGAAATGACACAAATTCAGACAAATGTCCAGCCGCATGCATAAATCCAGGAAATAAAAAGAATCAGAAACTACAGGGATGTTTCAGCAGGTCAATATGACATGAAGCACAACGCCGCCTGCTGATTGGAGGATAGAAATGGGAGAGAATATAACGCTAGACATGGAAGTAAATCAGGCCAAAAACTGCTGGTAACCAAATCTGTTTTGATGCATGTCCACACATGATCAGAGCTTCACCTTGAGTAAACACCGGACAGATTTTGTGCCAAATATTGAGCAAAAATCATTTTTTCTACACATAACCCGGTGAAAAATCAAAAGCTGGAAGAATCAGAAATATTTGGCACAGATAAGTTTCTTTTTTCCTCTTCTCTGTTCGTAAAGAGACAACACTTACCAACGTGCGACCTTTTATTGTAACGTTTGTCATCTGAGCCGTACACGACTAGCCGATGAAAACATGAACACTACTTTGATACCAAAAACAATCGGATGAGCTTTAGCAGGACCAGTGAGGGAGGGTCCTGTGTTCAAAGCCAAATAGATGCAGTGTGAACACAGAGAACCCAGAACCAAACGCACGCCGCTCCCCTGCTTGCACTTCCTGATGAGATCTGCGTCTCTTTGGTTTGTTTTGGTCTCAGCTGCGTCTGCTCTGTCTGTACGTCAATCAGCCCAACAGCGCTCTGTGTACAGTATGTAGATATGCACCTCTTTCACATCTTTGGAAATGGATGGTTTTGTTCTGTTGTTATGCACTCAGACCACAGACTGAAGCCTGCTGTCCTGACCTGCTTTTTAACGGACATCTTTTTTATTTCTTTTCTTTTTTTCTTTTTTTTTTAACCCAACGGATCTTTAAATTTGGTCCTCAGAAGTCACAAAATGTTTTGTTTTTATTCTTATTTTCTAAAGATGTGTTTGTATTTATTACACTTGTTTGAAATCGTGGATTTCAGAGCTCCAGCGGTGGAGTCTTCACACCAAACCAACTCATTGGGATGACTGTGACCCCCCCACCCTGCCCCCTCTCACCTGCAGGGTGGGGGGGGGGACAGAACCTGCCTCACTCATGTCTTCAGAAGGCATCGGACAGAACTGACAAGAAGGCATCGGACAGAACTGACAGCGCCGGCCATGCAAGGAAAACACAAGAACTGTTTTTTCTTCTTTTTTTTTTTCCCAAAGAAGGCGCAACACTTCTTTTCACATTTGCCTGTCAAATATTACCGAAGCTTCATGTGATGACGCTTTTTTAGTTTTGGGATATGAAAGGAAGAAAAAAAAAAGAAGAAGACATGGGAGGAGAAAGGAACAATTTGTAAAACATGAAATGTTTTATTTGTTGCATGTCTTTTTGTTCTTCAATAAAATAACGTACTGCAGTGTTTTGGATGTTATACCGTCTTTTTTTTAAAATGAGGATTTCAGAGTGAAACTGTGGAACCTTTTTCTTGACGGGTTTTAACTTTTAAGATCTCTGATTATGTTAAAAAAAAATAGAAAAAGCAAGTATCAAATGAAGAAATATTGTCTTTTTAATCACAAATCAAACCTGTTTGTCTGTCAAGAACATTAGCTGGAAGGTGAGGGGGGTTTTCTGCTCTTTATTTGTACTGGCAATGCATACTCCAAATAAATCAGGGGGGTTTTGTTGTTGCTTACATTGACGTTTTGTCGTTTTTCATGTGTGGTTGGTACACTGTAAAAACTGCTGGGTTATATCTTTAATCCTATTTTTTTTATTTGTCGTGTCTGGGAGGGTGGCACTCAGGATTGCTTTGTTGCCACGTAGAAGCTCCAACAGATTTACTTTCACAAGTGGAGCATTACACACACACACACACAAATATATATATATATATATATATATATATATATATATATATATATATATATATATATATATATATATATATGAAACAACTTTATGTGAAACTGCAATGGAGACATGAAAGAGAAGACAAGAACACACCTCAGAGGTCTGCTTCTACACCTGCAGGAAGAGAGAAAAAGAACAGAGAATCAAGAAATCACAGCAACAAACACATGCTAGAACATCACTGAAAAGCAAACAGTACTAATTAATACAAGAAGTATCCAGTGGCAACAGCAGTTCAGTATGTGTGTTCAGTGTGTATCTGTAAACAAGCAATCGGATCATTTTTAATGCAACATTTTTTTAAAATACAATTAGAGACAGACACTCTGTCAACCTCTCTCAAGTGCCTTTTTAGACCTTTCACAAGAAAAACATGGGTAAAAATAATGAAAAACCAGCTAATATTTTAAACTATAGATGTTATAACAACAAATGCTGTTTTTAGCAGACTCATTTCATGGCATAATTTCTGTGAATTTCCACAGCAGAATGGTAAAAGTGCCAGCAACATGTTTTAGATTGGTTCTTCATCATTTAAAAAAAAAAAAAAAAAAAAAATCCCATAGAAGAAAATGTATTCATTTGTTTTGCAAATATTTTCTGCTTTTCCATATTACAAACTCCAAAAATGTAAATAAAATGTTTTTTTATTTAAAATAATCAATAGCAATGTATTTAATTATTAAATACATTATTGTTTCAAAACTAAAATTGTTAGAATATTCAGAAAGCTAAATATGATAAGACCCTGCCAGTCATAACTACTATTATCTGTGTTTAGCCATTTATTTAAGACCTAATAATGGAGACTTTAGCATTTCCATGTAAAATTCATCCATAATGTTGATGAAAATGTCAGAACTGGATTCTATTCATTCTGCACAGTTAACAGTGATCATAATGTGAGGAAATAATCAATCTTATGATTTTGAAAACATTTACAAATAAATCTCTGACATTTTTTCTTCCATTATAGTGGCATGTAGCAAATAGAAATAATTGTGATAATTCTAACTGACCTAAAATAGAAGTCGTTCAGACTGACAAAAAAAAAGTATGCTTTTTTTTTTTGTATGTATTTAAGCTTCTGGTATCAACTGTATGTTTACTGTATTCACCAGTATGGTGGAAAGTGTCAGGATGCTTAGCATGTAGAAACTTCAGTATGTCGTCATTTATACTGACATGTTATGGCAGGTGTAGACATTAGTCACTTAAATATGTAACTTTTATTTCTACATATTTGCTAACCTATCAACATGTCGTGATTTGTGACAGTATAAAATGTTATAGATAATCTGTGAAATGATCGATCTGCTCCACTCTTACCCTCCACTGCCCTCTGGAGAAATACAACTCTGGTGATTGGTCACAGAAATAACCAATCAGAGTCAGGGGGAAGGTCTTGGCACTGTCAAGCTTGTATGCGCTGCTAATGTCAAATCTTTATTTAACCATTGTCACCACAGTCAGAACATTAGCAGGCTAGGGAGAGAAACTGTTCTTTGTTTATCTGTCTTAGCCATGCTAACTAGTTTTAGCATTCATGACAGGTTGACCTGGAGAAGATGTGGTGCAGCAAAAAGCAAGGACAGGTCTGAGTAGCATGAGCATAATTTGATTAACAGCGCTAAGACCCTCCTACTGGCTCTGATTGGTTGTTTCTGGCTGAGCGGTGTATTTCTGTAGCCCTGGGAAGATTAGGAGGAGAAGCTCTTTTTATTCACAGATTATCTGTCTTATACTATCACGACATAGTAACTGTTTTAACAAACTAATTTTTTATAAAAGTTACAGACTGGAGCTAAAGTCCGTTTTCTGGTTTGAAACCAGAATCCGCCGGGAGAAGCCAAGTCAGACCTGTAAGCTACACGCCAAGCAGCAAAATACCTACAGACTGTTGCATTGTGGGTTTTCTCCCACAAACTTGTGTGCCTCGGCGACGCCTCTCCTCCAGACTTTAGTAACAGGGTCAGAAGTCACTGTAGGACACGAGTTAACACATTGTGGGCCTGTCAGTCCAACACCTCTGGATAACTTTACACATCCGACTTCCAACTGCGCCATGACGCGGAGGCATTTTATCACCGCGAACAGAGCGACGCAGCCCGGCCCAACTGCCCAGGAGGGTATATTTGTGTATGCGCGTGTGTTGTGTTATGTGTGTGTGTGATGGGGGATATTTTCACAGTTCCCAGACTGAGTGAAAGCTGTGCAGCTCCTGGCCGACAGGCGCCCCTCCCCCTCCACCACCTTTCCCCACACCATGAACTCCCTCCGAGGCACAGCTAATGTGCATTCCCCGAGAGAGGCGGCATCCGCACTTATCTCTGTCCTCCAGATAAACCAGACAGGATGTCTGATTCTGAGCCTCCGATTCATCCCTCCTCTGGAAGGAGGAGAAGAAAAAAAAACACAGAGTGGAAGAGGTTTAAACATCAAATCAAATTGTGGATTAGGAAGAGGTTCCCGGGAGCGCTGGGAATCAGAGGCCGTGGGAGTGACATATGCAAACATGATCACATGTAATTACATGGATGGGCCTCCCAGTTTCCATCACACACCTTTTTCTAGCCGCTGTTTGGAGCTGGAAGAGCTGGACGTGTTTAATTTATTCATGAGGTTCTGCAAAGCAAAAAGCCATTGTGAGGTTGATTCAGTCTGCGGCGAGAAAAAAGGTGCAAATCCTTTTCAGAGAACAATCGCTGGATGTTCTCTTTCATTCCTCGTCGCTTTAACAAACAAGCTGCAGCGTGACAAATGCTACACAGGTCTTTAACCATCATTACCCACTTTACATGGCAACAAGATGCAAATCCAGCCAGCTGCAATAACTGGCCTGTTCCAGGGAGGGCTTCTATTGAATTTAAAAAGAAACGCACCCTTAATGACTTCAAGGTGACACGCTAACAGGAACTGGATTTTTATTCATTTTCCTTTCTACAGAGTGTTGGTAAAATGAAGGTTTCAAGTTTTGGGTGTTCTGGATGTAAATCTAAATTTATGGGTGCATTAAAAACTCAAAGAAAGCACAATGCCATCAGCAAGAACCTTAGAGAAGCAAGACCCTGTTCTAACTAGGTCCAAAAGGCAAAGAGGACATGTCTTCCTTTAAAACATGGGATGTAGGGACTTAAAAGTGACAAGAGAGCAAATATTTAAATGTGGTTGACTGGAGTATTGGAGAATGTTGCTCATCCCTCATCGTCTTCCATTCCGCTCGTGGTCAGTCCAATCGCTGATGTTAGAAAGTGAATCCACTGTGTCTCTCCCATGTAACGTGTGTGGAATCTTGTGAAAAAACAACTGTTTGTGATTTGCTACTAGATTATAAACCGATCCGCCATTTAAAAAGTGAGGGACAGATGTCTGTGCTAACCCGGCGGATGATTTTGGAAGGAAGCCCGAACCAAGTCACACGGCTTAAGAGACGGTTATCCCTGATTCTGACCAAATGCATGTAAACTATAGTATTCAAGGTAAGTTACAAAAGAATCTCTAAATAATATTTTCTCTGTTTTGAGGCATTTAGGAAATATATATAGTTTGGGTAATTCTAATTCTTTAATTTCACCATTTTTTAAATTACCAGAACATATTAAATAGAAATCTGTTGGACTCTACTGGTAAAACTGAGCCAGGGTTAGTCATCTCAGTCTTCAGACTGAGATCCTACAGGAAACCTGTTGACTGAACTGAAAGGAAGAGAATATCTGTGAGGAACCAGGACTGAGAGATCTTCTCAGTGTCCACCAACCTGGTCAGGGTTACAGGAGAGTTGTCCTTTGGTAAAAGGTGATCAGTGGTACAAAATGTCCAAGCAGCAAAGGCAAATTAATCAGGAACAGGATGCAGTAAGAACTGGTGGGTGAGTTCCAGCCAGCGGAAACAGCTCAGCCCTGGCACCGTTCACGAAGCTCCTACCACCCACAGACATTCAATATGTTCCTCTGATCCCAACTTTTATATAAAATAAATAAACAATGAAGAAGACATTTGCAGAAATGGCCCACATCACCAAATCCTCCCAGGCTGCCTGAAGTGCACAGGATTTGGAGGAGAATTTGGAGCCTGTCTGAGTCACTGCTGGGTGTGGGAGTTTTGGCCTGAAGCCTCCGTAACAAGTGGGACGCGGACCTTATCGTGTTCTCCGTTACAGGACAAGTGGAATTCTCTCCAGTCATGCCAGAGCGAGCTCTTATTGGAGGAAGGAACAAAGTTATCGCTGTGAAACATGAATGAGTAGAAAACAAAGACACACAATGCTGGAGTAACTGTCACATTCATTATTTTACTATGGTGACATGGTTGGTTTTTATGTTTTTTCCTGTTTTTGATGAAACATGTTTGGTAGGAGGGATTGTTGTAAAGTCAGAGACACAAAGCAGGTGATTTTCTGCTGTCGCTGCGTCCAGAGGAGGAGTGAAAGCTGCAGGTCAATAACTCCATGCCTTCTGCTGGGTTCTCTTAGTTAAAACCTTTTTAAACTACTTTGGATTATGAATTGAGCTTCATTGTACTGTTTGATAATTATTATCAATAGGAAAGTATGTATGATTGAACTGCTTTTTTTTTATAATAAAGTGTCTCGAGTCATTTGTTATGAATTGGTGTTATATTAATAAAACTGAATTGAACTGAACTAAAATTAGTATTCTGGTTTATAGTCCTCCTTGTTATATTATTATGCCATATAAATTATGATCCAGCTTCTTGTTAATATCACTTCATTTAAGTGATATAACATTTTTATAACTAAGAAATTTTTAGAAGGTTCTAAAC